ACACACACACACACACACACACACACACACACACACACACACACACACACACACACACACACACACACACACACTTTACAACAGACATCCTGAGGTCACGCTCTTGTAAACAACACAAAGAAATGGAGATTAAACATTTGTCAAAAGGATATCCACACACTTCCCTTTCCACGCACACTGACTGTACACACACACACACACACACACACACACACACACACACACACACACACACACACACTTTCTCTACATATACATCCATAGTTGAACATTACATACATACATACATACATACACATTCATACACATTCTTATAAACCGGATAAATAGCACGAAGAGAACAGTTTGAGAGAGACAGAGAGAACGAGATGGTACACGAGAGATAATCAAGATGAAGAGCTAAGAAACAGATAACGTGAAATATATATAAATAGAGGAGAATTATGAAACACTGAACTATATGTTAAAGACACGAGGAACAATTGTGGTAATGGAATGAAATATATCGGAACAAAATATGGGAAAAATATCATGTGAAGAAGAACCATATGTGGATGTGAGAAAGATCGCTTACGAATGATAAAATACAACTAAATTCATGATAACACGAACGGTGAAAAACAGTGAATGTATGTAAGGTGGATTGTTGACATGATACACGAGGAAAATATGAAGGGATTAATGTCACCAAAGATTTAACACATTTCATTACGTCTCATACTCTTGGTTGCTGGATAAGTGTCAGAGAGGCCTACTGGGTGGATCTCATAGGCGTGACGGTTTGACATGCATGGATACAACACAGGTAAACACACCAGGTTAAACACAGTGCAATATAGAGACATCACGGCCGAAGCTTCACTCAACTATATCTCACAGCCTCAAAGATACGTGGCCCATTTTGCAACTTGGTCGACTTGAGGCGCCCCAGCCGAAAAAAAAAGTGAATTATGATAATACATAATAAAAATATAACTGTTTTAGCTTTCATTTTGATTGATTACTTATGATAATCCTGAATATTGTAGAGATAAATGCTTAAGTTACCCTGAAGAACGAGAATCATCTTTCAATATTGAGTTTAGATTTCCCACCCTCACCCCCCTCCACTACCCCCGTCTTCTGATGTAGTGAGACGTGTTGGTGGTCTATGTATTAAACTTAACCACCACTTCATTTAGGTTTAAAAAAATTCTCATTTAGTGATGTTCAAGAAAACTTTTATATTCACGAAAAATTATTCCCAATAATTCCTGTCGGCAAAGTGGGATGGATGGGAGGTCCTTAATTATAATATGCACTCACTCTTAACTCTTTCAAGTGTGTATGTAGCTGAACCCTGAGAAACTGCCCTATAGATATCTATATTTTCTCCTGCCATTTCACCTGCCATAAAAAATTAAGAAACTCTGGAATAAAATGTAAAAATGTTCAGTAACTTTTCTGGGTCGTTCTAAAAAAAGTAAGAACGACAATACATTCTAAAAATCATAATAACAGAATAAAGAAGAACGATTTTAAGAACGTTTGGTATAAGGAAGAATGTAAGAACAGCCTCAATCTTTGTTCTTGTTTTCTGTACGTAAGATCTTCGTCATCCATCCAAACTATCAATTATCTTGGAACTTTACCAATATTTTTCTACCCTCTGTTTTTATCTCTCTAATTATCTATTGGTTTCTTTATTATTTCCTTCATTATTCCTTATCTATAGATCTTGTTTTTATTTCTTTTTTAATAATTATTTGTCCTCTCTGTCTCTCCTTCATTATCATCAGTTATTTCATTTTCTTGGTTATCTCTCAATGCATCTTATCAGTCGTTTCCCCAATGTTGTTTCTCTAATATTATCTAAATGTCTTTTCTCAATGTCTTCCTATGTTTACTGTGGATCATAAAGCCATGTTTACCTCACTGTCATTTCCCCATGAGCTTCAATACTATCCTTGCACTATGTCTGTTCTTGTGTTCATCCATAAGCTTCATCTATCCTCTCATATTATTACCTATCCACTATCACCATCCTCTGCCGCTAACTAACCCACACTCGTTTACCTACATAAGACACCAGGATAGTTTTAATTTCGTTCATGGGACACATTTCATGGAACCACAAGGAAGAAACTGACTCACAAGATATGTAAACAACTTGAAGTGAGTCAGGGAAGGTTTTACATGACGACTGTAAACAAAGAGAGTGAGAAGTGAGGTTATTTGAGGAGGAGTCTAGGTAGGGGGAGTCTAGGTAGGGGGAGTCTAGGTAGGGGAGTCTAGGGTAGGGGGAGTCTAGGGGGGAGCCCAGGCAGGGGAAGCTCCAGGTAGGGGGGAGTCTAGGTAGGGGGAGTCAGGCTGGGGGAGTCTAGTAGGGGGAGCTCCAGGGTAGGGAGTCCAGGTAGGGGGAGTCTAGGTAGGGGGGAGTCTAGGGCTGGGGAGCTCCAGGTAGGGAGAGTCCAGTAGGGGAGTCTAGGTAGGGAGAGCTCCAGTAGGGGAGAGTCTAGGGTAGGGGAGCTCCAGGGGAGAGTCTAGGTTAAAGAGTCTGTGCTGGGGGGGGAGTCTAGGTAGGGAGAGTCTAGGTAGGGGAGAGCCCAGGGTAGGGGAGTCTAGGTAGGGAGAGTTCCAGGGGGAGCTCCGTGTAGGGAGAGTCTAGGTAGGAGAGTCTAGGTAGGAGGAGTCTAGGTGTTGAGAATTATTGAGGAAAAAAAATATGATGACAATGAAGACGATTATTTTTTCACGGATTTTCTACCTGATACTCTTTACTTAGTGACCACCTTACTCCAGTGATCACCTTACTCCAGTGATCACCTTACTCCAGTGACCACCTTACTCCAGTGACCACCTTACTCCAGTGACCACGTTACACCAGTGATCACCTAACTCCAGTGATCACCTTACTCCAGTGATCACCTTACTCCAGTGACCACCTTACTCCAGTGACCACCTTACTCCAGTGACCACGTTACACCAGTGATCACCTTACTCCAGTGACCACCTTACTCCAGTGATCACCTTACTCCAGTGATCACCTTACTCCAGTGACCACCTTACTCCAGTGACCACCTTACTCCAGTGACCACGTTACACCAGTGATCACCTAACTCCAGTGATCACCTTACTCCAGTGATCACCTTACTCCAGTGACCACCTTACTCCAGTGACCACCTTACTCCAGTGACCACGTTACACCAGTGATCACCTTACTCCAGTGACCACCTTACTCCAGTGATCACCTTACTCCAGTGATCACCTTACTCCAGTGACCACCTTACTCCAGTGACCACCTTACTCCAGTGACCACGTTACACCAGTGATCACCTAACTCCAGTGATAAAAACCTATAAGTTGGTTCTCTCATCGCCCTCACCCATATCTCACCACCAATCCTCCTGACCTCCTCCCTCCCTGTCCCTCCTCCCCCTTCTGTCCCTCCTCCTTCACTCCCTCTCTCTCAGAACACTTCAGGGACATCAGTATTGACTAGCCATTATAGCCGCCTCGCAAATCAATTAAAACACAATTTAATTTTGACAACGATCTGCCGAGGAAGGAAGTTTGGGCCAAGTCTATAGAGGGGAAACGAGGCGTTTCAACCGTGGTGTACAGGATAAAGTGATTAGGGGAAGGTCGTAACAACGTAACAAGTATATAACGAGGTGGTGGTGTGTTGGGAACTTGAGAAATATGAGGATGATAAATTAATGAAACACTGCATGGGGAATATTGTGTGTTAAAGGTGTACTTGGGTTGAAGACTTTAAGTGAATTGTATACCTGCGTTATCTATTGCCTCTTGATTAAATGTAAACTTGCATGACGATTTTACTGAAGAAATATGAATCCGTTGAATTTGTATGTATGTATGTATGTATGTATGTATGTATGTATGTATGTATGTATGTATGTCCTCACAACTTAGAGTCCATCCCTTATGGTGGAAAAGTTTCAAGAGTGTTTCCACCATCACGTAAATAAACAAATATATATATATATATCCTTGAAATAATGAGACAGACAGACAGACAGACAGTGTCCTATTAATTATCTGCTATTCCCTATTTCTAGTACAAACACGACCCACAGAATTAATAAAGTGATTCATTCGTTACTTAAAAACTTATAAACAGCAAAAAAAAAAAATATCACACTAAACAAATGATCTAAACAACTTCTTCAGACTCTCTCTCTCTCTCTCTCTCTCGTTTCATGTACAATTTCACTGAGACAAATATCCTTCATCATCCCCAACCAAGACAGTTAATAAAAAGGTTAGGTTAGGTTAGATTATGTAAGGTTAGGTTAGGTTAGGTTAGGTAAGGTAAGGTTAGGTTAGGTTAGATTATGTAAGGTTAGATTAGGTTAGATTAGGTTAGGTTAGGTTAGGTTAGGTTAGGTTAGGTTATAACACAAAGTCTGAAAAAGTCTCTATTTATCGGGGCTAATTAGTAAGCTGTGAGTCTAATTAAGAATGATTCCCTTGTACCTGGAATACCTGTAATTAACCTGACTAAAGGCTCCCTAAACTGGGTATTTTCCGGGTACTCGTGTGACTGTGTTGGGTTTTAATTAAGCCGAATATAGAAACTGCCAGAACAACAACAACAACCACAACAACAACAAAAACAGCCATAACAACAACAACACCCTAAGTTAACCAGATATATTATCCAGTTTCAAGAAATAACCCCGGATGATTGGACCTCTTACCACCTGCACTGGATAATCAATACAACGGAATATCACCACATGTATAATATCCAGGTTCCTAATTACTGATGGGTAGGTTAGGTTAGGTGAGTTTATTGGGCAGGTGACCTCACGACACCTGGGCAGTGTGTTATGCGACGAGTCCCCCTAACGTGTTACGATGGAATGGGGAACATGTTCTCGTGTGTGTGTGTGTGTGTGTGTGTGTGTGTGTGTGTGTGTGTGTGTGTGTGTGTGTGTGTGTGTGTGTTAATCGATAAACTAGATCCCCCAGAAGACAGAAACACGATCAACACATTACCCAGTGTCTCGGGAGGCTGGCCTCACCTACCTCGGCGGGTGGATGTCTTCTGTCGTTTATTTTCTCACCTGAAAAAGAAAAAGATAATACCATTACAATCAGTTAACAAACCTTTATGGAAAATATGGATCGAGTTAGTGACAGTTATCTTGTGTGAGGTCCTTCTTGTTCTTCTCTTTTATCCTTCTTTCATTTTGTCTACTTCCACAATATAATCAAAAGAATAATCTAGTTTCCTACTTCTATTCGCTTACCTTTTTAGTGGGAGGAGTCGACCATGGGATGGTTCGAATCCTCGGTGATGATGCAGGTGTTAGCGAGCAACGGTTCGGTCAGGTCGGAGCTCCGAGCCCCTGTAATCGCCCAGTCGATAGTCGAGTTTCTTAAAGCAGTGCTCTGAACCAAGCTTGTGTGGGTAGTTTGGAGCCCCTGGCTGCTGGTTGGAGGTTAAAGACCCTGGCTTGTGAGTGGTTCAACTCGGAAATATTTGGTACTCTACCTAGTCTACAGCTTTGCTCACATTATGGCGCCAACTCCACCTTCGGGTTTTAGATAAGAATTTCTGTTTGAAAGTAATCTTATCTTACTACTTTCCAAAGTTTAACAGATGAAAGGTTGTTAAAATTTGAAGGAGAAAATCCATCTCTAATGATATTTTGACAAGAACATGCAAAAGCTGCTGAGGGTTTCGGCAAAACGCCAAAGAATGTTGATCAATAATAAATTATCAGTCAGAATTGAAGTCTCCAACAGTAAAATATTAGCGTCTCGTGTTAACTATCGGGTTTACGTTATGTTTACACCATCTATATTTAATAACACTTAGAATCTTATCAATATTTTATAATTCGTGTTGTTACACCTCAGTCACGCTCTAAATGCCACCATTTACAAATTCCAAAAACGTGATTTTTTTCCGAAGTCCTAAAGAACATATCCCTATGGTTAATCTCACCTGGAGATTAACCAACCTAATCTAACCTAACCTAGCCGGTAACGTTAGGGTGGTTAATCTTCAAGTGACATAAGCTTGGTACCATCTTCAGGTGATGAATTAATTACAATATTCTAATCATAATTTCTTTTAACCTTACACACTCTTGGTCAACACACGCCGGTCTTATGACACTTAGAGAATAAAACTTTAAATACACAAAATCGTCTAAATCAGAAACACGTCGTTTATATCCCCAAAGTTCAGTAAGGAATCTCAGTTAGGTTTTAATGTAGTGTTACAGTAAACTCTGGATAATGTGAACCTTTTCTATACCCGACAGTACATCATTGTCCTTAAGAAACTGTTCACAAACTCGTACAGGCAAGACAAATTTTAAGCTATAATTCGGGGAGTTATTGTAAGTTGTAACACTATTAAAGAATGATTTTAAAAATTTTGCTTAGGTATGTATTTAAAAGTGAATGTTGGGTTGTGTTTAATCATGCATCTGTAAGTAATTTATTTATTAAGAGTAAACAGAAAAAAAACCGTTTGTTAAAGATTCTGAAACTCTCGTTGATCCGAACTGTTTAGGTGAAGTGATTCGTCCGATCGGTTCGAAATATTGAGAATGTCTCACTTAACGATAAAACCATATGAGATCACGTTGAGTCAGACACACCCTAGAATAAGAATTATTTGGGAAATTTCTTTATTTCCAAAAAGACTATATATATACTGTAAGAGTTTTTCCTTTAATAACTTAACACAATGAGTTCTGATGAAGTCAAAACTGTCTTCCAGTCTTGGGTAAGTGACAACACGCGTGGCGCTCACCAAAACAAATGACATAACGTTTATTTACTTCTCATTAGTTTAATAAACTCGAAACCCTCATTAGGAATATTTCTTTGCCTACTGAACCAACAACTTAGTACAAGAAGGTGCACCAAAGAAAGGATTTATTTTTTCAGTAATAACTATTGATAATATTACTTTGGGTTTAATAATTTGGGCGTGTATTTTGCCTCGTAATGAAGTATATTATAAAACACTATATCTGCTAGTTATCTACTTAATGACAAAGGCTTTAACCAAAGTTGATTATGTCATTAGGCGATGGACTTCAGAATATAGTCGAATCCTTGGTTGATAAAATTCACTTCTCTCAATAGTAAAAAGGTAATTATCGGTTATTATAACTGTGGCTAGTACATTAATCCCGGCTAGGTAAAAGTTGCCATTCGTGGCTAGTAAGTGTCGCACCTCCGGCTAGCGGGGCTCCTGTCGTGGACAAAACGGTGGTGTAAACTGTGTGATCTTGCGGTAATCCGTGCGTGGGGAGCGATGTGGCAGTCGAGCCTTAGTAAGAGGTTCAGCCAACACACCAGAGCACGGCCAGTAGCACACTCACACCTCGCCCGACATGCACCCTACGCCAGCCGCCGGCACACTGATGGCGCTCGGAAGTTGCCACTCCCGCTAGCACCACTGGCAACAGTTTTACCAGGTCACGTTGGCGGAGCACCTTCTCCTTCACCTTGGGTCTATAACGTCTCTATTGGAATCCTCCATCGAAAAGTAAACAAATTAAAACTATTTAGAAAAGATTTAGAATTCGTTGATTAATATTCAACATAGATAATTTCATTCACTTCGTAACACACTTTGTAAACAATATCGTAGTGATGAAAAATTGCTTTTGTTTGCTAGACACAAAGAGGAGATGTACAGTTGGTACTGGTGCCGCTTGACGCCAGAAACCCCTAGTGGCACTCGCCGCGCGCCGCTACAACTGGCACCAGAGCCTCATAATCCTGACGCCACGACTACCCCCCTCCCCTCACAGGCCCTCACGGCGCCACACACTCTCAACTTCGACCGCTGGCGTCAACATAGAAAACGAGCAGTTCTCGGACAGATCATTAAGAGAAAACCAATTCACGCCGGACCAGTTTACCTACGACACGAGGGAACGAATGAATAGTTGCTTCCAGTAATATAAAACCCTAATTACATGACGATACATATCTCCTACACCGCAGTTACCCGAATACAGTATATTGTGAACCAACTAAACCTAACCCAACTTATTAATCTGATCAAACGTTCTACAATATAATGTTTGGTTAGTTTATCATGTCTGTTGTCATAAATGGTTTAATTAAATCTGAATACTAATATGTTCTTTGGGTTTACATGCTCTGCTTAACTGTACTATTGATCATTACACATATGACCAAAAAGCACCGTAACAATAGAGATTCAGATAACACCTCACTCTACGTAACTCACATTTAACTTTCCCTCGCTAATGATACCGGAATTATAATAACGAAATAACATCAATAATTTACTATACGACAAAAACATAACAACGAACAAACATAAACAAGGGATAAATATAACAAGAACAAGAAGCGATACGTAATGGAAACGAAACACTTAAAGCAAAGGGCCATTATCCCACCTCACTGAGATACCTCGTAACCTCTCTCGGTGAAGTATACCTCGTAACCTCTCTCGGTGAAGTATACCTCGTAACCTCTCTCGGTGAAGTATACCTCGTAACCTCTCTCGGTGAAGTATACCTCGTAACCTCTCTCGGTGAAGTATACCTCGTAACCTCTCTCGGTGAAGTATATACCTCGTAACCTCTCTCGGTGAAGTATACCTCGTAACCTCTCTCGGTGAAGTATACCTCGTAACCTCTCTCGGTGAAGTATACCTCGTAACCTCTCTCGGTGAAGTATACCTCGTAACCTCTCTCGGTGAAGTATACCTCGTAACCTCTCTCGGTGAAGTATACCTCGTAACCTCTCTCGGTGAAGTATACCTCGTAACCTCTCGGTGAAGTATACCTCGTAACCTCTCTCGGTGAAGTATACCTCGTAACCTCTCTCGGTGAAGTATACCTCGTAACCTCTCTCGGTGAAGTATACTCTCGTAACCTCTCTCGGTGAAGTATACCTCGTAACCTCTCTCGGTGAAGTATACCTCGTAACCTCTCTCGGTGAAGTATACCTCGTAACCTCTCTCGGTGAAGTATACCTCGTAACCTCTCTCGGTGAAGTATACCTCGTAACCTCTCTCGGTGAAGTATACCTCGTAACCTCTCTCGGTGAAGTATACCTCGTAACCTCTCTCGGTGAAGTATACCTCGTAACCTCTCTCGGTGAAGTATACCTCGTAACCTCTCTCGGTGAAGTATACCTCGCCCGGTCATATACTCTCATACATGGACACACAAACATACGCCGCCGACATGAACTCCTCTAAAATGACAGCCCCAGTTATACAATTCAGTGTGACGTCTCTCATTAATTCAGTGCTACTTAGCTGTGTTATGTGGTAGTAGCAGCTATAGTTCAGTGTTACTTAGCTGAGATGTGTGGTAGTGGCAGTGTTACTTAGCTGAGATGTGTGGTAATGGCAGTGTTACTTAGCTGTGTTGTGTGGTAGTGACGGTGTTACTTAGCTGTGTTATGTGGTAGTGGCAGTGTTACTTAGCTGTGTTGTGTGGTAGTGGCAGTGTTACTTAGCTGAGATGTGTGGTAGTGGCAGTGTTACTTAGCTGTGTTGCGTGGTAGTGGCAGTGTTACTTAGCTGAGATGTGTGGTAGTGTTACTTAGCTGTGTTGTGTGGTTGTGGCAGTGTTATAACTTAGCGAAAACAGAAAAAAAAGGGGAAGAATCGCTTTAGGTCCGATTAACAGCAGCGCCAGGGTGAATGAATGCATGAATGATTTAGTATATTATCTTAGCGCCACAAGTCATGGTTAGGTTAGGTTAAGTTATCCCCACTCTAGCCGATTGGTCCTGTTACAAGCGATGGACAGCCCCCGGAGTACAGGGTGGACGTGTGGCGGTGAAGTAGAGGCCACACGTGAGAGAGCCATATGTTACCGTCTCCTCCTCCATGGACCAACAGCATAAACACATACCTGCACTCAAATGCTAATAACCGCAAGGTAGAGTCCTAGCAAACCCTCAAGGCGACACAAACAGGAGGTGATCCACAAAAAGCGAACGTAAAACACTGAAATAGCCATCAAATACTTCATCACCCCCACACACACATGTTGCCGCCGCCACTTCCTTAAGATCACTGGACTCAGGCCTGGTGACTACTGCTGGTGAACCTGAACCCTTGGCCTTGAGGTGTTTCGATTCCTTAATTCATTGGTTCGCTTTACTCATCCACTTAATATTCACTTACGTGTTTATTTACCGACTGGATGGCAGAAAGACCACCAGACACGATTGGCCGTCATCTACGATCTCATTAACTATCTAAAATTACTTCTAGCCATCATTAGCTAAACTAGAAATGATAATTATTAAGGGAAATACACCATGAGATTCGAAACTATATAATATTGTATCTCCCAGTTAACTTCTGTAAGTCGACACCTCAAGGTTGTAACTCCTCTCTGTTGCACTAATAACTTTTAAGACACTAATGTTTGGTGAACCTGAGTATATCACCAAGTGACAAATCCCACTGACAACACACTCTGAAAATGATTTTGCGTAGTAGTAATGATCCTTCCCGCCTTGAGTAGCCTAGAACAGTGCAGGAATGTTCTTTTGCTGCCCGAACCTTTTCCTATACAGCATAAATTGACTGAAAATATAACAAATAATTTTACAGCTCTAACGGATATTATCACACCTCTTACACCTGCACCGGTAACATTGGCCAACACTATAGTAAATGGGGAACGGATGCAGGATAAAACCAGAATCCGTTATACATGATATTTTAAGTCCTTCAAACATTATATGATCTAAAAACATTGTAAAAGATGAAGTTCTTGGTGTTTTATTATTTATTTATTTTCATACGTTACAGATATTCTCATCTAGTAAATATAATTCACCCTATTTTATTTTACCTGAAGATTAACTATGCTAACGGTACCTGTATGAAAGGCGGGGTATGTTAGGTTAGTTTGGGTTAGGTTAGGTTAGTTTTGGGGGGTAATCTTCACGTGAAATAAACTAGATTGTCTAATTTTCAGGTGATTCGAAAATACAAGGATATAATAGAGAACACTAAAGAACACACACATTTAAAGTGAACACCCATAAAGACCATAATTCATGTTTATATATCACATGTTTTCGTTCACTACAGAGCCTTCAAAGAGCAAGTGAAATCTTACACATAGGATAAAACTATATTGTATTCTGAGATAACGAGACGAAAAATAAATAAAACACCCGAAAATATAATGAAAAAAAAATCTGAAACGAAACAAAATGAAGGAAAACAATAACAAAAATATAAGCTCACGTCTCCCCCCCCCCCTCGTAAGTCAGCTTGAAACTTATGAAACTGATGAAACATGAGAAAGCTTAATATACAAAACCCTATCATGACTTAATACATAATATACTTCAGGTTTTAATTCGTGTATATTTCAAATCTCATCAATATAAGATTCTCACTCACTGAAAGCGAGTGAGTGAGTGAGTGTTAAAGTCACGTAGAAGTGTCGAGTGCGTGTGAGGGTGAGTGAGTGCGTGTGTGGGTGAGTGAGTGCGAGTGCGTGTGAGTGGTGAGTGAGTGCGTGTGTGGGTGAGTGAGTGCGTGTGTGGGTAAGTGAGTGCGTGTGTGGGTAAGTGAGTGCGTGAGTGGGTAAATGAGTGCGTGTGTGGGTAAGTGCGTGAGTGTATTAATTGCAAGGTCACGTTGTGTTGCTGGGAGAGATACAAAAATAAACATTTATATTATAGAAGAATACAGTATACTGTCACCCTCTCTACGGATACAACTACACTACTGGTGTTACTTGTTACTGCTCCTACTGTTACTACCTGTCCTTATCACTGTTTCTATTACTGCTACTGTTACTTGTTACTGCTTCTACTGTTACTACCTGTCCTTGTCACTGCTACTGTTACTTGTTAGTGCTACTGTTGTAACCTGTACAGCTAATACTGGTACAGCACCACAACCATTACACAGCGTAAGACAACACCGATAACAGCCATTAATGAGTCAGTGAATATTATAATGAACACAAATACAACAATACAAATAAACATTAATATATAGATTCTGTTATAATCTCATTTTTTTAGTTACTCCTTCAATAGAAAATACGTTTTTTATTGTTACTCTTACAGGACAGACTACGGTAAAGTATGTCTACACGGAGGGGCAAACCGCCTGACGCTTTACTCACCAGGATAAATATTAGAAGTGTCTCTAGTTCCAGAAATGTTGAATGAGTAACCTAGCTAGTTACTCATATCATGAAACTGAAAAACAAAATACATATCACTTGGTAGTTGGCACACACATACCCACACTGGCAGGTCTATGTTTTAAGGTAACACCCCCAAAAATATTATATCGAGATATTATTTTTTTAAACAAATATCCTAAAAGTCACAATAGCGCAGCAATGCTCTTCGAGTGAGATGCTTCCTCGCCTGCAGTACTGTCACCCCGTCTGGTCCCCGAGATGTGCTACAGCAGCTAGAGACTGTCAGTTGATTGAAAATGTCCAAAGGAGGGCCACCAAACTGGTGTTTGCACTTCGGCACCTCAGCTATCCAGAGAGATTAGAACGCCTGCAACTGCTTATAGACGGGCAGGAGGTGACCTGATTAAATTTTACAAACATCTCACAGGGCACTACTTAGTAATGTCCATACCTGGAGCTGGCGGCCCGCCCCGCAAGGGGTCACAGCTCAAGGTTGAAGAAGCCACGAGTACAGAAAACTGAGAGGGCACACTTTCGAGTGAGAATTGTAAACTCTTAAAAAAATCTGCCAGTGATTGTTGTGACGGTACCGAATGTTAGCTCATTCAAGACCAGACTTGACCAACACTGGAGCAAGTACAGACACATTCAGGAGCCAGTACATGCCCAGTACTTGCCAACAGTGCATAAAAGAGACGTGACCGACCGCCCAAGCGGCTAACAAGACGATCAGTGGAGAAGAGGATAAAGGTAGAAGTAAAAAGTATATCTCATAAGGTTGGGTGGCCAGCAGGTAAAACACTGAACATAATCTCAGCTTACATACAGGACTATAAATAAAAGCTAAAATTACGATTAATCTCGGTCTCGGTGTCCATGTTTGGATACGTATATGTGTGTATACCCATGTATATTTATACCACTGTTTGTGGATACCATGTTTGTGTACACAATGTTTGTGTATACTACTGTTTGTGTATATTACTGTTTGCCTGCAACCTCATGTACGAATATTTATGCTTGTGTATGTATACCCATGTTTGAGTATATCCTTATACATGTATACCCATGTGTATACCGTTTGTGTATACCCATATGTATGTATACCCATGTGTGTATACCCGTATGTGTATCTTTATGTATGTATATATATATCCATGTGTGTATTTAGCGTGAAGTATCCTTGAGGTCTGTGGTCTTGACTACAGTGTTCTCGGTGGCGGCGCTGGCCATATTGTCTTGGCCATAAGTCCTGCCGTTCCTGTTGAGTAAGGTCATGACAGTCGCCCTGAGGGAGGTTGACAAGGTCCTCTCGCTACGGCTGGTGTAGTGGGAGGAGAAGCGATTCTGTACCTGAGATAAAACAGTTAACAGTAAATAATCAGCTAGAACATCATGCTAGTTAGTTAGTTAGTTAGTTAATTAGTTAGTTAGTTAGTTAGTTAGTTAGTTAATTTATTGGCAATTAAAATAACACAAGGATGAATGGACATAGTTTCAAATTCTGTCCAAATATTTTTATAAACATTAAAATACAATGGTAAGCGACACAAACCAGGTTCAGTTGAGTTCACAAAACATTTCCAAACATTACTCTCTGAGGTGAGGAAGTTTGACTGCAGATTAAAATACTTCTTTTCACCAGTAAATATTATGAAGACCGAGCAACATATTACGAAATATTGTGTCACTTCTCAAGCAGGCGTATCAACCATTCTGAGATGACACGAGCCATAGTGCTCATTCTGAAATCTTTTGTGACAATCTGCAAATCCGTTCTCGAATTATTTTAGGAACAGACAGACAGACAGACAGACAGACAGACAGACAGAGAGACAGGACTAAAACCAATATCCTGCCCAAAAGTTGCATTGCCGGATAATAACAGCGGCAGCATTAGACATCAGATCCAAATAAAACGATAATTATATAGCATTATTTTATCAACTTCTGTCTTAACTTTCACGAAAATAGGGCGGACAGATACACAAGCAGTACTCCCCCCCTCCCCAGTGACTTAAACAGTGTGGTCTTGTCATTGGGTGTGACCTGAGTGTTGTTATGTCATCGCTTGAATTAAATAATTTGATTGGTAGAACAAGGCGTTTAAGATGTCATGAGTAAAGGATAGCAGAGCACTCTCAGTTGACCTTCTAGCTCTAAATCCAAACTGAAAGTTTGTAAGGATGACATTGCAGAAGGAATTTAGTCTACTACATGCTAGCTTTTCCAGTATCTTACTCAAGGCTGGGAAGACTGATGTGGGGCGGTAGTTCTTGAAAAGACCTTTATCCACAGATTTTTTGAATGCTGGGTGAACTTTAGCAATTTTCAGTTTACCTCGAAAGACACCTCTGGTGAAGGAGGAGTTACAAATGTGTGAGAGAACAGGTCACGTCACGTCACGTCACGTCACGCACTAGTCACTCACGAACCGGATCGATGGTTAGTAGTGAATAATCTTATATAGTACTGTAATGAATCTTAACAGTGATAAGTAAGACTGTGTGGGGAGGCAGGTGAGGCAGACATGGCTGGCATGAGCAGGTGAAGCGGACATGGCTGGCGTGAGTAGGTGAGGCGAGCATGGCTGACGTGAAGGTAAAGACAGACGTAAAACCTTCTAACTGTGCATTATTGCAGTGTTGTGTTGTGAATGTGATGATTGCTGGAGTGCTTACATTAACACACCAATGAGTCTAACACTGCCTGGTGCACTGAGTATAGGTTACCGAGTGAGAGTGGAGGCTAGTTGTTGCTGAGTGAGAGTGCAGGCTAGTTGTTGCTGAGAGTGGAGGCTAGTTATTACTGAGAGTGGAGGCTAGTTATTACTGAGAGTGGAGGCTAGTTGCTGCTGCTGAGTGATATGGCGACATAGACCATTAAAAAAATAATTGTCATTACTCACCATCCGTCTCTTCTCCTTGTTACACACTGACACCAAAAAGATCACCACACCCTGTAGCTTGGTGATCGTGTCGAATAAGACTCTCCTGTAACGAGACCAAGTGTACAGTAGAGCATAAACAAGGAATACACATAAGGTCGTCTGAGTGATAGAACATATTACCCATCATAACATATTGGCATTTTTAACTTAGATAAATAAAATCGACAATAATGGAGAGACTAAGGTAGGACGGAGGCTAAGGTAGGGAGGAGAACTGTGGTAAGGAGGAGACTGTGGTAGGGAGGAGACTGTGGTAGGGAGGAGACTGAGGTAGGGCAGACACTTACCACCAGACGCACTCAACCCAGGGAGCGAAGGGACTTGGGACTTCCAGGATCCACACAACTCCCATTACTATGAACAGTCGACCAAATGTCTTCCACCTGCTAAAAAAATGGTAATTAATTAACACTTCTCACTGTCATCACCTCTCACCTCTCACTATCACACTATCATCACCTCTCACTATCATACTCACACCTCTCACAAGACCACACAGATGATCAACATTACAACTACGATAATTAAGTTACCTGTTGTTATTACGTGTGCTGCGGCTATTGGCATTGTTGATATCGCTGTTGTCAAGTTTCTTCCCGAGGACGAAAACAATGTGCAGGAAAAAGCCACAGTTTATGACCAGAAGAATTAAGATAATACTGTTCTTATACGCCCATCGAGAGACGTTATCTGAAACCAAAAGGAGAAGCTGTGTGAATATAACTGCTGAGTTACTTATATATCACATTTGGTTATTAATATATATACATCAGCTGACACTAACAAACACCCTTATCTGACATTGACTTACTAACACACACTCGTCTGACACAAGCACACACACTAATATGACACTTACACACACTCAGCTGACACAAATACACACACACACACACACACACACACACACACACACACACACTCAGCTAACACAAATACACACTCATCTAACACTTACACACACTCACAACATACACACTCATCTAACACTTACACACACTCATCTAACACTTACACACACTCATCTAACACTTACACACACTCATCTAACACTTACACACACTCATCTAACACTTACACACACTCATCTAACACTTACACACACTCATCTAACACTTACACACACTCATCTAACACAAACACACACTCATCTAACACTTACACACACTCATCTAACACTCAACATTCAACTTACTGTAAAACCAACAAGATCCCTCGTAAAACTTGGGCTGTAGGTATGTGGCGTCTTCAATAATATCAAGGAGAAGAGCCATTGTGCCCAGCAGTAAAGGGCACCCCCAAGCGTATAGGCCATATTTAAAGAACATCTTCCGTTTGTTGACGACCCCATAACTTCTTGACCTGAAGACAGATAGACGGGTGGGTGGTGATATATTATGGATGGACAGACAGATAGACAGGTGGTTGTGATGTATAATAGTGTTAGGATGATAACTAGTTGATGAATATATGAACTATATTGATAAAAACAAGGTTAGGTTAGGTTTGGTTAGTGTATGAGGAATGTGGCCCATATAATCTGCAACTCTATACTCACGTTAAGGTCCACCATATGTCAAAACAGACGACGTTTAGCCAGAAGTAACTAGACAGAACGAACATCAAATTCACGAACGCTGGAAATTGAGTCACACACTAATAACCAGATAGTGTTAGGTTAGGTTAGGTTAGGTTACGAGCCTGAATATTTCTCTAAATTAATGTTGTATTATAACTAAATCTCAAACGTTATCTATACATATTTTACTGTTGTTAGGTTAATAGATATAGGTAATTAACATTATTTTCATGTTATATGACAAAAACTTTTCAATCTTGAGAAATAAACTAGAGTGAAATGCAACTATATTATAAAGAGACTATATCACTTACTATACATGACTATAGCTTCTTAAAAGATTCATGCAATATTAAAAATTATCGACATCGGAGAACAAGATGAGACAAGAGATGGACTGAAGATCTGACTAAAAGCGTGGGACATATACGTAGAGTGTCCCAGATAGATATCCCTGCTTCCCTCACTCCCTCTCTGCTTGCTCCCTGCTTCCCTCACTCCCTCCCTGCTTGTTCCCTGCTCCCTGCTTCCCTCACTCCCTCCCTGCTTGTTCCCTGCTTCCCTCACTCCCTCCCTGCTTGCTCCCTGCTCCCCTCCAACCCACAGTATCTCAGGGAGCAGTTTTTAGTATAGATATAACTTTGAATAGTGTGTGGGATGGAGGCGTTGGTGAATCAATTTACTGTGTTATAAAAAACAAGTGGCCAAGAGGGTGTCACTCAGCTGAATAAAATCATGCGTCATTGCCCTGTAAGGAGTTAAATCAGATAACTTGATATCTTAGTGAATAGAAGGAAAACACGTCATAACATATCCATTACTGCTGTTAGATATATCAAATGACGTAAAGTGTAGTTACTGTTTCTTAAAGATAATATTAACTGACAGTAAATAGAGTGTTGTTCTTGATTCTCGTTCACTTAAATGTGTAGCAAGAAGTTATAGGAGTGAGAACATAATAATAATAATAATAATAATAAATAATGTTATATGTCGCTGACTAAGGTGATTAAAATTGTGGGTGAACAAGGTAAGGTGAGTATATGGATGGGCAGAAAAGGCTCAACACTGCAGACTGAGACTCACCTGCGACTGAGAATGAGAAGCCGACTCACTCTTAGCTAAGCTGAAACTCACCTCAGCTTGAGCGTGGGAGGATGAGACTCACCTGTAGCAAGGCAAAGAGTCTTGTCTTGTTTCAGGATGTTGCGTGTGAACAATAAAATCAATATGAGGATTGACTTAATGAAGAGAGTTATGATCATGGGTATGAAACAGTGGCTGTAGCTGGTACGTCGTAGTTCAGCAACAGTTATGTAGACCATCGCTGTGGCCGCCAGGAATACGCACGAGACGGCCATCAACACCGGGTCCAGTACCTCGGACTTCCAGTTACAAGCGTCTTGTTGGGGACACAATTGCGCCACCTCTCTCACTGTGTCCTCATGTTCTTCAAAGTCGATGCAGTAATCTTCTGGATCCATAAAAATCCCGCTCACCTTGAGTTCGCCGCTCTCAAAAAGTGTCTTTTTTTGGTCGTCAGCATAACAGTTTTTATCGTAACTGTCGAAAGGGAGATTGTCAGCTATTTCTAGGTCGGAGGACATACCAAGAGACCAGCTGGAGACCTGAGGCGTCCACATCTCAGTGATGTTGCGAACGTAGATACAGATGTCATTTTGGAAGAACTTCCCCCGAGGACAACACTTGCGGACACAAGGTTTCAGGGTACAGAGTTCTCGGTCGCGGGAGATTTGGTCATCTGGGTCCATCCTGCAGAAGAAGACGATATACTCAGGTACCGGGTCCGGCTGACCATTTTTATTCATCAGTGTGAGCACATTCTTCACTGTTCCATCTGTCACATTTTGATTCGATCCTCCCTCTGCCACTGTACTCGCACTTGGTGAAACATTATGAGCTCCTATTTCCCAACCATTGTCTACTCTCGTCTCTTGCTCATCTTCCGCCTGTGGTTCTTCCTGCCCTCCAAACATAACACCGAGGCAATAATCTCGAGTAACCATCTCACGTGTCATTAGTTGCACCACATTATTATCGTCAGTCTGCAGGAAGAAGGAACTATCTAGTCGTTGCTGCACCTTCTTGCCTCCCTTGCTCCCACAGCTGCTCACTACCGGCTGTATCAACCACTCCACTTCCTGTGCACCTTGAACGAACGGCGGTGGAACGTCACGAGCCCCCTGGCATCGCTTCACATAGGCGGTTTCTTGGCGCCCAGGTTCCTCTCTGCTTCCCGTCAGACAATTGTGGGCGTTGTGAAGGTAACACCGAGGCGAGGATGCTTCCCCCGCCCACACAGCAGCTAACAGGAGTACAGACCACCACCACTCATACCAGTTCATTTTTAGAGATGGGGTTAGATGCCTCAAGGTGTAGCGTGTAACTCCAGTACCTATCTGTAAATAAAAAAAAAAGTATTTTCTCTTATACCTTGTCATGCCACTGGGAGGAGGGGCCTAAGCTGTAAGGTAATATTGCAACACTACTGGGCGAGTTATCCGTCTTGGGAAAGGTTAAATATCCCACGTAGCCCAGTTAGTTATGAGGTATTTGTTCACACATGTGGGAGTAAAGAGAAGGAAAACTCCAGCCTAGGTGTGAGGAAGCGTGGCGCCACTAACAGAAGACACCACTGAATCATAACCCTAACAGCTCTTTCTGCTCTTTACTGCCACTGCTCTTCAGTTTATTTTGAACAGTTCAAAACTCGAAACAATTAAGTATCATTCGAATTAGTTTAAAAAAAATGAAAGTCATTGAAACAATACTCAAGACGCGCTTCATAACTGTTAGTCAAATATTAATAACACTGATAATATTACAATATATACACGGTAGCATTACCGTGTTGCTAAAAGACTGTTTGAGAGCTTTATGGGTTCGAATACCGTAAGACACCAGTATTCATATCTACGGTTGACTGTATTTTGGTGATCAGTCGGTGTAATATCAGTCGAAGTAATCTGATGGAGCGTCAATGCATAATGAGATGGTGTCAAAGGTCATGACGCAGTGATATAATGCAAAATATTGTCTATATACATACAGGGTGTATATATATCCCACGAATACTAATATTACAGTTTCACCTCTTATTACATCTTCAGAGGTGAGCATAAAGGTACAAAGCTCTAGTTACCTGAGTATATTAGCAACAATAAAATATAAAAAACCTGACCACTCATAAGGTAAACAAACTGTACATAAATAAATACAAAGTAGAGATAAAACAAACAGCAGTAAGTTAATTAATTACCAGAAAGAGTCTAAATTACTGAGCACATAAAGGAGAAGAAGTTCCATTGGTAAGAGAGAGACACACACAGAAGAATAAAGATGCTGTTACACAAACCTTAATTGATGCGAGAAACACGATAGTTCACAAGAGGCCGTATCACTCATAGTGGGTTTTAGTGTACAGTATATTGAAACACAGCTGCCATGATGGGAAGGTAGGTCAGTGTTGTTGCTGGTCATACCGAGAACTGAAAGGTCCGCGCATGAGAACTGGTAATCAAGTCGTTGGGCGTGGTCAAGGATAACTGAGTGAGGTGATTGGGTGAATTAATTGACCTATAGGAACCAAAGAGTCTAAATATTGATAGGTGCGCCGTGTCTTTCAGTGACTTTTTGTTTCATCAATATATGGTAACACAGGTAAGCTGATAATGACTACAGGTGTGTGTGTGTGTGATTTACCTGATATTCCTCTTTATTATTAAACTACATTACCCACGTAACAAGTTTATTCTGATAAAGTAATTCAATTTTCTAATACCTCCGTCAGACATATAAAATTGTTTAGTTCACGAAGTTGTTGCCTAAATCTACGTCGCTTCAGGAAGTAAAAGAGAAAGCAAGGTCATCCAAGCCCTCCCTATTGACCTATTATTACCATTAGAGTATCACTTCCACCAATCTCTCTAAACAACCCCTTATTAAGATATATACAAAGGTGTGGTCATTATGTAATTAGTTTCCATGGTAACATAAACAGGATGAAAATAATTGTGTTTTCATTTACCCCCAAAATACATCTATCCTGACAGAATCCCTTGTACATCATGTTAATTCTCTCCACCACATCGCCATTAATTTTGTGCTATATAATTTTGATAACATGGAGGTAAGTGGAAATATTTTCGAGTAATGTATGAAACACCAAACTCAGATTATTTCCTCTCAACTACGGTGAACGAGAGAACATGGGATAGAGCATACTATATACCAAGTCCTGGATACACAAGGAGGGAAGGGTAGCTAATACTGCACTTGATCTTATTCACTTCCCCAAATGTAAAGCTAGGTAATCATTAACAGCTGGGATTGATTGGTAGTGCCCGGGGATTGAGCCAGTAGGCGTAAGTAACATATTCAGAGTAACTGTTCCTAAGAGGTTAAATAAGTAAATATCTAGTGTACTGTCTATGTTAATTTATAGCTATATGACGTTTACTGAATATGTCTAATTATCTAACTAGTGGCTAAAAGGTAACGTATAAATCTTAGGTATTAGTAATGACGCGGAGTCTAAAGGTAACGAAATATGTAAACAGACACAATGTGATAATACATCAGAAGAAGAGAAATGAAAAACACGTGCAAGTGACGAGCGATGTTTACCAAATAATAAAACACTTCTTACCTCCCAGGTCAGGTGTGAGGAGCCCCGAAGTCTCCACCAGCACACAACCGCTCTCCGTGACAGCCAGCAGCAGACTGAAAGCACTTGTACGAAGCAAAACTATACCAACGTCACAAACCCGAATGCATCACTACTTTGGGTAAGACTATCAGTGTGTGTGTGTGTGTGTGTGTGTGTGTGTGTGTGTGTGTGTGTGTGTGTAGTTGTATGTAAAAAAATCACCTGTACCCTTGGTTATATAACTTCTGGGTCATATATAAGATTAATGTATATCTAACTTCCCTACTTGTCATCATATAATATAACGGAACTACAAAAAAAAATAATAATAATACCCAAAAAAGTCGGAAAAATATCTGAAAATTCCAATCCCCTTCAGCTAGTGTCCAGGGAATTTTGTCCACAACTGTACATCGCTGGACGACCGCCATATTGGATTCCGATTGACAACAAAAAATAACTAATAGAATCTTTTTGTTAATATCTTATTTATTAAAGGTAGTGAATAATTTCTTATCATGCAAATGTATAAAAAACGACATTAAAAACAAAGCGTATATATTATTTTACATCAGATTGAATGGACAAAAGAATTTACAAAATATCTTAAATTTACAAACACCGTAAAACAAATTCATCAGTACAATATCCAATAATTATTTTCTTGGTGATAATGAAATTTTTTTACACCGTAGGGGAAGTACAGACAAAGAAAACAAAGAGAAAATGATAACCTCAAGAAGTAATAACGGCAGCACTGTGGACACGAAGATCACCTGACGATAATTACTTTTAATGGAGGTAATTATGCTACACCTACAGATACAGAAGAATAATTCATGTAACTCGACAACACCTGGTAGTAATTGATAAGGAAATTATCTTCAGGGAAAAAATAGTCTATTATAAATACATGAAAATATATAATTATTGTGCCGTATTTTCATGACTTGTGTGTGTGTGTGTGTGTGTGTGTGTGTGTGTGTGTGTGTGTGTGTGTGTGTGTCCTTATGTATTGGAACCACGCGTGAGGCCCCTATACCACCCAGGGACCACCTTACTAATTTAACTTAGAGGTTAATTATCTTGTGTAAGTTAATTAAATTCCATAAAAAGTTAGCAATGTGTTAGGATAATAATCTATAGGTTAACGATGCTGTGTATATGTTAGGACATTGGGTTAGAGTGCTGTGGGATAATACCTCGTTAAGAGTTAAGGATTACGAATTGTGGGATAAAACTGCATTAATGTTAAGAGCCGAGACCCTTCCCACACTGAAGCAAGAACGGATATATTTTGACGCAAATTATCCCAACGAGTGAGTCAAGTTACCAATCCATATTTCACACTATTATTCGAATCACATCTCATTCGATTCTTTTTAAAATTTACTCCAAAATCAAGACAGTTTTCCTCTTCCTAGAAACACAAGAGATTCGTATAACATGTATTAGGCGAGCAGAGGAAATGTGTAACACCCACCACGGCGAACACTTATTGCCTGTCTCCGGATAATTTGAGTGGGGACGTGTTTCCTTGGCCCTTGGTATGAGTAAACCCTAGCGAGCGGCGGGTAGGTGTGAGGAACTACGCTGTCACCCGCATGTGGTATAAAGTCACTTCTTTTCTTATTAAACTCAATTGCTTTTATTGGAGTCCTTGTGTGTGTGTGTTTTTGTGTGTGTTGTGTGTGTGTGTGTGTGTGTGTGTGTGTGTGTGTGTGTGTGTGTGTGTGTGTGTGTGTGTGTGTGTGTTCTTCACTATTTCTTTAATATGACGTAATTATCTCAAAGTAGAACCACCAGGATACACTATACGAGTCTGGCTAATTTAGGTTAGGTTAGGTTAGGTTAGGTTAGGTTAGGTTAGGTTAGGTTAGGTTAGGTTAGCTTAGATCAGGTCAGGTCAGGTGAGTTAATATATGACTTAGCTCTTATTAACAACTATATGTTATAACATTATTATAGTTTATCTTTCTTTCATTTTTAAACAATATCAGTTTATGTTTATATCCAGGTGTCAATACTATTTACCTTGTTTATCACGTCCAATTAAACCTGTTTGTTTGTTTACCTTAAGGACACATGTAGTTTATGCATCGTTTCACTCTTGAAGTTACGATAGCGTCTAATTAATATGTGGCGGCGGTGTATCAGCATATTATAATTATCTCAACACTACACTATATATATATAAGGTCCAGTATAACCTCTTTTGTTTAATGCCATACGTATTATATCTTTGTGTTTTTGGGGGGTGCGTATTTCTTTTATAAATATCTTTGTCTTATGAATAATGATTTCCTAGAAGAAGTGTAGCCTATATATGGTGAAGGCGTATGTGGATTTGGCCTGGCAGAGTTCGGGGAAGGTGGGAGTGGGTTGGGTGTAGTCAGTATTGGAGAGGGCTGGCTGTATGGTCAGTATTGGAGAGGGCTGGCTGTATGGTCAGTATTGGAGAGGGCTGGCTGTATGGTCAGTATTGGAGAGGGCTGGCTGTATGGTCAGTATTGGAGAGGGATGGCTGTATGGTCAGTATTGGATGGCTGTATGGTCAGTATTGGAGAGGGCTGGCTGTATGGTCAGTATTGGAGAGGGCTGGCTGTATGGTCAGTATTGGAGAGGGATGGCTGTATGGTCAGTATTGGAGAGGGCTGGCTGTATGGTCAGTATTGGAGAGGGCTGGCTGTATGGTCAGTATTGGAGAGGGATGGCTGTATGGTCAGTATTGGAGAGGGATGGCTGTATGGTCAGTATTGGAGAGGGCTGGCTGTATGGTCAGTATTGGAGAGGGATGGCTGTATGGTCAGTATTGGAGAGGGCTGGCTGTATGGTCAGTATTGGAGAGGGATGGCTATCATATTCATGTCAATGTGGGAGATAAGAGGTCAAAGGTTATCTTAACATACTAAACACGCCATTCACTTCATCCTCTCCCCCAGTAAAGACAACAAGGAAACGTGTGTTGTTGTTTCTCAGATTTAATCTCAGCGGATGTTATTACTGTAGTAGTAGAAGAAGAAGAAGAAGAAGAAGAAGAAGAAGAAGAAGAAGAAGAAGAAGAAGAAGAAGAAGTGCTTGGCAGCCATTAAGACACCTCGTATAACCTGATGTAGTTGTGGTAGACATCACGCCTCCATGACCTCACCCAATCACATGTCAATATTTTTAAGGCTTTTTTCCTTATTGAAATATAAGATAGTTAACATAAAATTAACTTAGTCTTAATATAATATCATGTGATTGGTTGACGGGGCGAGGTATAGAAAAATCGACTCCACCACTATATGGGTTCATTACCACGCTGACCAGTGTTTGTAAGCATACTCGTGATAACCAACAGTAAGAGCGAAAATTACACAAAGACTCTGCAACCATAACGTCTTTCTGGAAGTACTGTATAAAATAAGGATGACTGGTATTTGTTGAATGCGTAATGCAGTTATTAGAGCGTAATTATTCTAGTACACAGGTTATAATAACGTGTGACTGTTCTGCATGTGGAGGCGTGGATGGTTGTAGAGGTAGAAGCATGTTATAGTTATGGAGATGTTGTCACTGTTACCATACAAACGAATCTCGTATACGAGGTTTCACTAGTATATAAATTTAACCCTTTAAACTTCACCTCTTTCTTTATCGTTAAAAAAAATAATAAAAATAAATAAATAAATAAATAAATAAATAAATACAAAAATAAACAGAGGTAAAAACTTGGAAGAATATAACATTTTGAAGAACTTAGAAACAGAAGTCTTGTGGTATGTTGATGATTTATGTCCACAAGTTTCACCAGTTTTAGAATTAAACAAATATCTCAAGTAACAACATTACTGGTTCATACATGGTACCAACTTTAACAGTGAGTCAATTCTCGTAGTGTTTCATATCAACAGCTCGCGTCCTTCCACCAGATACTCCTGACGGTCGTTATATATTTATTTATCAGGGTAAACAAAATACACGTTAAATAACATAATATACAATAATACATACAATCAGTTTTAGTACAGAGTCATAGGGGTGATAGACAGTTATTTAAGAGTGTACGTACGGAAAATAGTCCAGTTTTCTGTGAGTAAATCCATTTTCTGAAGCGAATGGTCAGGCAGACTAAACTAAAATGAGATTGGTGTGGAAGATGTTGGACAGGTGTGGAAGATGTTGGACAGGTGTGGAAGATGTTGGACAGGTGTGGAAGATGTTGGACAGGTGTGGAAGATGTTGGACAGGTTTGGCAGATGTTGTGGTACAGAAATATGCCTCAATAGTGGGAAAAAATGGTTGTGTGGACGAGGAAGTTTTCGTATAGCGGTCAACAGAGATATACTGTTGTCGTGTCGTGATATCTATTATCAGTAAATTTCCACCTGGGAACATAATTAACTCCAAGGGAACTACATAATTACCCACTTAACATACAAAACATTAGACATATATCAAGGATTTTTATTAAAGAATATTGACGAGTGGGTCGTATTTAAAAAAGGCTACACGGGCATTCATTATGGTTTATTTGCAACCAGAGAGGTACACCAAGCAACTGTTTGTCTATTAGAGTTATACATTAACAACAATATTACAGGTAGGTTACAGTACAGTGTATACCCGTATCACGTAAAAAAATGACTTCTGACGAATTTAACCCCTACTTGGCCTCCTGAGGTGTTAACGAAGAAGGCGATAAGACCCTGCTAAACGATGATGGTGGAGGAATTTCAGGAAACACACACACACACACACACACACACACACACACACACACACACACACACACACACACATCTGCGTGCCATATGTTTCATAATTCTTAAAACATGGTAAGTGAGTTAGTTTAGCTATGCGTAATGTAGGTATGTTATTAATACCAAGTTACTAGAAGGTCAATAGCATACGACTAGTTGGCTTTCAGTGTACTCGTGTAGTCAATACAAAAAAGTATCGACCACCTGCCGTTCGTAACACCAGGAAACTTTGTGCGTAATCTCTTAATACTTTACATACATTTACTTAATGGCTGGGGTGCACTGGGTGTTAATTTGTTATCGCTCACCTTGTGTACCACTGACCTAGGGAGGTCGATACTTGTTTTACTGACTGTATATGTTTATAAAGTCGCTTATTTCTATAAGTATTTAAAACCCATATAAAGGAAAACAGACTCACTTCATTGGCTCCTCTGACGAACCATGCGTGAGGAACCTTCCTAGTTGCCTTAAAGGTACAGATTATTCAGATACTTGCAGCGATGTTTCAGAAATAAACCATAAACTTTAACTCAAGTTTATATATCTTGATTTGTACATGCTGCCTTACACATATTATAAACACATTATTCACATGCTTGTCCGTAAGTTTCAAATATCATTTACAACAGGAATATGTACTAAACACAGGGGCACAGCCCAGCAGCAGACCAGTGTTCAAGTGCTTATGTTTTACAAGGTCTGCCAGACCACCTGGCAATGTTGCCAGCCAAATTCGCGCAAAATATTAGCGAAAACTCGAGTTACTTGGCATTACTTCACGCTTACAAAACACACAGACAGCTTTTCTATTATAAGCTTCGATCAGTTTCAGCCAGTCCTGACGACTCTTAACTTTTGTGTTAACACTGGACTAGTGGACTAGTAGGAGCCATTTGTACTTGAACAAGTTTCTCATAACTTGATACTAACAAACACTTGCTTACTCAGGAGGCAAATAAGGATAACTGAGACTGGTAGTGACCAGCAGACGGTTGATCAGTTCTCGTACTGGACGAGTATGACGTCGACGTGTATAAATGCAAGAATTGTGACACACACGAGATGAATACTTGGAAATCTTTAAAAATTAAAATTTTATTATCTGATACATCCCCCCATATTATTTTAAAAAGCGTTTATCTCCAAACTGGTAACACTGCCCGGGCATCCGGGCCCTCGGGGATCCCTTCCCTACTGTGACGACGTAGTCAAGGAAAAACTAGTCTTTGGGTGCAGCCTTCGGGCTGCAGAACTTTTTCAATAAACCGTTTATTATTATTATTATTATTATTATTATTATTATTATTATTATTATTATTACTATTATTATTATTATTATTATTATTATTATTATTATTATTATTATTATTATTATTATTATTATAATATACACACACACACACACACATGTTACGGTTAATTTATTTCATGTTCTTGTCAGTTCTTACCTTGCTATTAGCCAACAACGCTGAAACTGAACAATTATTTCACGACTATTTTACAGAGAGAGAGAGAGAGAGAGAGAGAGAGAGAGAGAGAGAGAGAGAGAGAGAGAGAGAGAGAGAGCAGACTCAGGAGAGCGGGAGGAGGAAGCTGGCTGGTGAAGGCAGTGTGGTTTTAGCTGCTGGCGGGTGTGGATCGCTTTGACTGGCTAACCTCCCTCTCACGCTGCCGCTCACCTCTCCCGTAGCCTCTCACCTATTCCATGTTCTCCCATTCCTCCACTCTGTATCTCACACACACACAATTTCCTCACCCTATCCCTCAACAATCATCCATCTTCACTACACTCATCAAAAGGACAATAATGAATTCCCTCAGTAAAGGAATTCCAACGTTGTGAAGTTTTGCGTTATGATAAATGCAATACAGCGACAGGTAAGAGACGGTACTTAATCTCTCGTAATGATATACTTCCTTTACCAATGGACGGCGTATATGTTTTGAAGTTGAGGTGAGTGGGGGGTGGGTGGAGGTTGTGGGTGGGGGGTGGGTGGAGGTTGTGGGTGAAGGTGGTGGTGGTGGTTGTGGGTGAAGGTGGTGGTGGAGGTTGTGGGTGAAGGTGGTGGTGATGGTGGTTGAAGCTGTGGGTGATGAGGAGGCTGAGAAAAGTGATGGTAATGGTGGCAGGAGGTGGTGGTAGTGACTGAAATTTAGTGGTGGTAGTAAGTGGTGGCTAAGAGTAATGGTGGCAGGATGTGGTGGCAGGTAGAGTGCTAACACAATTAAGGTAAATTTAATACACAGACCTTCACTTTATTAGTTCCAGTTACTCCAAGATTAAAGACCGTAGAACTTCAGTGTTAACCCGTGTACAGTACAGGAGTGTATATTAGAACTATGTATTATTTTTAGTAGTAGTAGTAGTAGTAGTAGTAGTAGTAGTAGTAGTAGTATCGTACATATATACATTACATACAGGACTACAAGAAAACCTGAATTCTTTACCACAATAGGTGATTAATATTATTTATAGCTGCAAGTGTGTGTGTGTGTGTGTGTGTGTGTGTGTGTGTGTGTGTGTGTGTGTGTGTGTGTGTGTGTGTGTGTGTGTGTGTGTGTGTGTGTGTGTGTGTGTGTGGCGTCAGGGTAAGTTCAACACGCAACCACTATTTTAAATTCCGGAAATCTAGGCAATCCAGTTCTCTTCCTTTTTAATTAAATTGAAGCGGTTGAAACGTAGAGAAACAGTGAGGCATGAAGCATTAGTGAAGTATTATTTACACCGAGGGGAGAAGCGGTGGTGTGTTGCCCCAGGCTCAACACGGCCCGATATTTCCTGCGGGAATTTCAAAATTAACTAAAGGTATGTTACTCGGTCGACCAGCCTTTTCTGTATGTGTTCTTTATCGTGAACTAACTGTGTGGTCGTGAAAATATTATTGGCTAGGAATTAAATGAATCTCATGGACTGGTGAAATAAAAGTTGGTCAGGCAGAATGGTATTATTATATTAGAGGACCAGGCACTCTTCGTGTTTTTTTTTTTTTTGTGGAAGGATATCAAATTCCATCGAGGCCAATCAATCCAGATGCCACCTTTAAGTATATTACGACTTATTACATATTAAATTTCAGCTTTATGTTAAAATAGGATTCAGAAAAATCTATTAAATTAACTGGCCACGAGGGGACTGATAGCTTAATAAGGTCCGACCTTGATCAAAATATAATGCATAACAAAAAATGAAAAAAACCCCTCAAATTTCACCTTTATGTTAGAAAATTTGGTTATAAACAGGAGATATCATTTTCATGCAGGTATCACTCAACTCTCCCCACGTTTAGATGTTCATGACCATTCTCGGGGATAATTGACAGTAGAGAACCAATTTTTAACTCTCTACACCGACAACTAAGGATGAGGATAGCAAAGAGAGAGACTAATTAGGTGTGGTGTGGGGAGGAGGAGCCGACCACTGGGACCCTCTCTCTAAAGTTACACCTCGTGACTCTTCAGGGACACATAGCTAAGGTAAATTTCAGCCGTCTAATTCAAAACTGTAGCCGTGTATAGCGAAATAAAGACCCACACACACACACACACACACACACACACACACACACACGCTGTATAAGTGTGATGGTTTAAGAAGTGTCGCTAAGTGAACAGTGATTCTAGGTGGGAACGAAGGTTAATGATGGAAGGAGAGGTGAGTGAGGTGAGAGAAAGGAAGGAAGGAAGGAAGGAAGGAAGGAAGGAAGGAAGGAGAGGGAAATGAGGTGAGAGGAAGGAGAGGGAGGTGAAAGGAAGGAAGAAAGGAGACGAAGGTGAAAGGAAGGAAAAAAGGGAGAGAGGAAGGAAGGAAGAAGGAATGGGGTGAAAGAAGAGGTGGGAGGAGAAAAATAAGTGTTTCTAATTCTATCTACTGAACCAATGGATAAACAATAAAATCCTGTGACACTTTTTTTAAACAAACTGTGACATGAAGTAGAACAACAGTTGGCGTAAATGAGAACAACTTACTCACATACATGTACGAGAAGCTGTTCAGGTACAGAATAGTTCCATAGGCAGAATTCTTTATTGGGACAGTTGTGTAGTAAAACTGAATCCCTGTGTACAACTTTTAGAACGTGTCGTGTCGTAGTGTCGTGTGGTATTGTGTCATCTCGTCGTGTGGTGATTTATGGTCAATTCTTATCGCTTCACCGTCACTTCCCTTCATCAACACCTCTCAAGATATTGTTGTATCTCCTTGTTTCTTATCGTCTTCCAACTCCTCTTCTCTTCGCTTCCTAACCTTCATTCTTTCCTCCCTTACAGCTTCTTACTATCTCCATAATTATCATCTTTCACCATTTTCTTATCCTAACCACTAATTTCCCACCTTTTCTTATCGTTTCCTTATCTCTTAATTCGTTCTTTTTCCTTATATAACCTTTATCTCATCCTCTAAACGTTTATTGCCATTTTATTGTCGTTTTCCTGATGCCATGATGCTCATAAAGTTTCATCTCAACGACAAATCTATTCAGGGAACGACTATGCAAATTTTCAATGGATATTTTCTCTCCCCCACCCTTGTCCCCTTCCTTCCACCCCCCATCCCCTTCACTCCCCCCCCCCTCCCTCCCCTTCACCCCTCCACGACAGACTCCCCCAGGTGACAGATAGCGACCCAAGGCCCTACACTTAGGGGAACAAAGAAAAAAACCCAACAACATCGATCACAAACTTTTAGTAACTTTGAGTCATAGCGCAAAAGTGTGTCGAGGGAGACTTGAGTTTGTTTTTTATGCGTCTGGTAGAAGGAACGGGTGGAATGGGGAGAAAGAACGGGTGGGATGGGTAGAAGGAACGGGTGGAAAGGGGGGAGAAGGGGGAAGGGTGGAATAGGTAAGAGAGAATGATGGAATACTTATATGATAATCGCCTGTTACCATCATACATTAATGGTCAAAGGTTTGGTTAGGTTAGGTTAGGTTAGGTTTTAAGACAATCCACAGCCACGACTTGTTATATTAACTTCTGTTACACGAATGAGATATTATTTGATATATTATAAATCTTTAAAAGGACTGTGGGTGTTAGGTCATAGGTCAGAGGTCAGGAACGTAAAGTAACACGTGTCGTATTGGTTCTCAATATTGAAGTCACGGAGGCGAGGTAATTAAGTGACGTCAGAGTGTGGTTGAATAGCAGGTTGTCGGGGATACTGCATTCTCTGACCTTCTTTCCTTCCTTCCTTTTTTCTTCCTTCCTTCCTTAATTCCTTCCATACTTCCTTCCTTCCTTCCTTCCTTCCTTCCCCAACACACCATGCAGATTTAAGGTGGAAATCCTATACTAAGTCACCCAATTTGTCGACCTAAACTCCACTGCAGATTATCGTATCGAAGAGAATTTACAACCTTTCTATAACACCTGTGTAATGTATAACTGCACTATGCTATAACTAGGCCGAGGATGATCTCAGCTAGAACATAGTGATAACAACTGGGATTATAACCTGTAGTTGTGGTACTTGTTGTAGTTGTTGTTGTTGTTGTGTAAATGGATTAACAAATTAAACATAAAAAAAATCAGGATTAATATCAACAATAAATCTTACAATATCAATTTACCAAAAGTTTCTGAGAGAGGAAAAAATTCTTTCCTTTTACGTTACCTTTAATAGGATATAATTTAAATCAGCGTATATAACCTAACCTAACGTAACCTAACCTAAACCTAACCTAAACCTAACCTAACCTAAACCTAACCTAACCTAAACCTAACCTAACCTAAACCTAACCTAAACCTAACCTAACCTAACGTAACCTAACCTAAACCTAACCTAAACCTAACCTAACCTAAACCTAACCTAACCTAAACCTAACCTAACCTAAACCTAACCTAACCTAAACCTAACCTTAACCTAACCTAACTAAACCTAATGCCTAAACCTAACCTAAACAAACCTAACCTAACCTAACCTAACCTAAACCTAACCTAAAGCCTAACCTAACCTAAACCTAACCTAAACCTAACCTAAACCTAACCTAAACCTAACCTAAACCTAACCTAACCTAACCTAACCTAACCTAAACCTAACCTAACCTAACCTAACCTGTGTCGGGAACTCAGGGAGACTCACCTGACATGTCCCTCATCACTGTCTTATGTTACAACCGATAGGAAAATAGAATGTTTTCTTTATTTCTTTTAGTTTTCTTCTTTCTTTTTCTTCTCTTTGTTGTTATTTTTCTATTTTTTTGTTCTTGTTCATATTTTTCTTGTTCTTTAAGTTCTTCTCCTTGTTCTTGTTCTTGTTTTAATTTTTATTCTTCTTTTTCTTTCACCTTGGTAAAGAATGAGGGCAGGGCAGAGGAGGAGGAGGAGGAAAGGAAGGAAGAGGAAGGAGGAAGAGGGGGGAAATAAGGAGGAATAAAAAGGATGAGAGAGGCAAAGGAAAATATATGTCCATCACTCACTTGTAACACTACTAATTTATACATAGTGACTGAATTAACATAACGACAAGAAAGATGAAGAATGAAAAGTAAATGAATAATGAATAAGAGATAAGAAGGTAAAAATACTGACTTGCTCTCTCTCTCTCTCTCTCTCTCTCTCTCTCTCTCTCTCTCTCTCTCTCTCAGAAGACGGGAAATTGGGTCATGTAAATCCGGTTCTAAAGTGACGTTCTTCTGTTTCTATCATGCGAGTTTCCTTTACATTCTTGTCTTGTCTTCACGTTCCTGTCTTCACGTATTTGTGTTCATCTTGTCTTCACGTTCTTTTGCTCATCATGTCTTCACGTTCTTCTGTTTATCTTGTTTTCACGTTCTTGCCTTCATCTTGTCTTCACGTTCTTTTGTTCATCATGTCTTCACGTTCTTCTGTTCATCTTGTCTTCACGTTCTTGCCTTCATCTTGTCTTCAACTTCTTCTGT